AGATTTTTCAGTATGTAGATCTACGATCTAGTTTTCGGAATTTCATAAAATTTCTTACAAATTCTGCCCTAAGTTCAAAAAATTTCTCAGTAGATCTCCGAACTTCTCTAAAGTTCTGTAAATTTCTTTGTAGATTCTTGGATTTCCATAAAGTTCTGCAGATTTATCAAAAATTCTTGGAAATTCCCCAAAGCTCTACAAATTATCTGAAAATATTTGAACTTCGCTGAAGTAAAAATTTATCTGAAGATTTACGAATTTCTCTGAAGTTGTGTAAATACTTTTAAAGATCGGTGAACTTTCCCGAAGCTCTGTGAGTTTTGCTGAAGTTATGTAAATTTTTCTAAAAACGTACGAACTTTCTGACGTTCTAAAGACTTCTTTTAAGGTCTACGAACTTCTCTGAAGTTCTTCAGATCTATTATATCCAACTTCCATGGAGTTCTGCAAAATATTGCACTTTTGTGCTTCGCTGTGATTTGTTTTTGAATTGCGGTACTTTGCTGACATTTAATGAATTTTTCTGTAGATCTTACATTTTTTTCTGAAATTGTGAAACTTTCTGAAAAATTTCTGCAAATACCTTTAAAATTCTGTAAAGTTGTCTGAAGCTCCATTTTTTTTCCTCTGTACAGGACCTAACACTACTGCGACCAGTAAATTGATCTATTGTAGTATATACCGTGTCTTTAGTTTAGTGATGATGTATTCGATTTTTTTACAGTTGCCACTCTTGCATTTATCGCAAGGATCCGACTCTAATTGAAAGGTCCCGTTATTTATACCCTTCGGAGTGTTGAAACACCCTCCAAAGGCGCGCTCAAAAAATTAATTTCAAAGTCAAAATTGGATTCCTTAGCAACAAAATTAAGGTATGACACCGACAGTGTTGGAAAAGTTCACCAAACTCACTATGACTCGTGAACTTTTCCCTTGGTGAACTTCGTGATATATCGCGATCTTTTCCAACGCTGGACACCGATAATGCATCAGAACCCTAGTCTTAACCACTTCAAACTAGGGAACAAAGAATAGAAGATTAGGAATCACATAGATGAAGACTAACTAACTCATTTTTTCCTTGTTTCAAGATCATCCTCGATAGACAAAGCCGAGTCTTGTCACTATCAACAAGGCATAAAAAGTAACAAGGACTAAGATGTGTTCCTTGGATTACTGAAAAATCCTGTTCCCCTATTTTGAAGTAGTCAAGACTAGGAATCGGTGGTAGAGCTTACGTAACGTACCACGAAAAGGTGATCTACCCACGGGGCTCCATAGTTCTATTCTCAAGATCCACAAAAAAAAACCTTGAGGCTCAATAAATTTCTCAGTAGATCTGCAGACTTCTCTGAAGTTTTGTGAATTCCTCTGTAGACTCTCAGGCTACCCTGAATATCTGCAAATTTCCCTGAAGATCTTCTAAATTACCTTAAGTTCTCAAAATTTATCTGAAAATATTTGAGCTTCCTTGAAGTTTTAAATGTCTCTCTCAAGATCTACAAATTTCCTTAAAATCTAATAAATATTTTTTTTTAAACGCCGAACTTCCCTGAAGTTCTGTAATTTTTTCAAAGTTCTGTAGTTTTGTTTTGAAGATCTACGAACTTTTCTGATGTTGAATAATTTTTCAGTAGATCTCAAAACTTCTGTAAAATACTTTATATTTCACTCTAGATTCTTGGAGTTGCCTGAAGTTATACGAATTTACCTGATGATTTGCAAAATTTCGCTTATAGTTTTATTAATTGACCTGAAAATATGTTTGAACATTTATCTGTGATTTTTTTCATGAATTCCTGAAAATTTCTTTTCATTTGTTTGTAGTTCTGTTCTCAAGATCTACGTACTACCAACCGGAGTAAACTTACGATTTTAAATTGGCTCACTACTTGACTAGCCTATTGGTCCCAAACAAATCGATTAACGTACCCCATTATTCATTTGATTCGCTATGAAAGTTTGACAGATAAAATGAGGGGCTCGTGGATTTTCCTATGTTTCAAGGGGTGCATCGATTAGCTTGGGACCGAAGATAGTACCAGAGCTGAGCCAAAAAGTTGAGCACGTTTCTTAGGGACCTGCTGGTCTTAGAGTTACCTCTATGATACAACCCTGAAGCTCAACAAATTTCTCAGTAGATCTCCGAACCTCTCTGAAGCTCTAAAAAAAAATCTTAGTTGGTTCTCAGACCTGCTGTCTGGCATGCTTATTCTTATAATATACATGCTTCGTATAATATAAACACTGTTTTGTTGATAATGCCATGATCAAAGTCATTACGTCATCTTTCTGCCACTGGAAAATAAAAAATCAGTCGAACCATACACAGGACATTATTGAATAGTGAAATCGGTTTACCTTCCCTAATAAAAAAAAAACCATACCCGAACGATAACCCATATGATTGAACTATTACTCAAATGGTTTGGATGATACCCTGATCACGTCGTTAAGCAAAATAACCATTCATATTTTATTAGGGTTGCTGCTGGATGCCATCAAAACACAAATCAAGCGTTCTTTAGCGGTTCAAATCCGTGAAATCTTAGAAAAAAAAAATCAATATTTTCACCTAACCTAACCGAGCGGCTATTTTGTTGGATGAGTCGAATGAAAATTAAACGCAAACCTATTCAGTTCGATAAATCAAACGTCAAATCGAATCATCTTGTTGAAAAAAAACTTAATGGGTAGTGTCCTAGACACGACCGTAGTATGACGTAGAACCACGCAAAATTGATGTATGTTATGCATTTTTCTACTACTATACTTTATCCTAAATTTTTCAAGTATTTAAATGTTTCGGTTATGGTTCAATCAAAACAATTTACACATTTTTTTTGACAAATTTCCATGTGAAATTCCACATAATTTTCAGGGGTGTTTTGCAGATATAAATTTTCCGCGTTTCATTTTAGTTAAACGGGAACCAAGTCTCACTCAAGCCCATCGCTGGTTGTAAGAAGGTGATCACGCCGTGATCAACCTTAACCCACTGACTTGCTCCTGCTTGCTGCAGGACCAAGTGCCACGCCGTCCGAAGCGGTAATGAACAGCGGCACGAAAGCAGCGCTGTTTTATATCTTTTCAGGTTCAAGCAGAACGATGTGCACCCAAGTGGTACTCTATTATGACGACTGGGTTTGGGAAAACGTGTATTTCATGTAAACAGAGATACAATTATCATTTGTACATTTTTCAAATGTTTTTCATGGAAATATTTATTTCAGCAGATAGGGGAATTTACGTATTCTCGGCAACCTAAGCAGCGACCTTCTTTCTATAGCCTTTTTCTCTAAGGAACGCACACATATGCAGTATTGGTTTGTTTACAATCTTTTGCTGCCAGCTGCTCTAACAATTTCAGTCGAAAGAATTGTCAAAAACTGTTTTGAAACGCTTTTACAAAGCTCCAATCTTCTCCAGTGAGAGTGAGTATTGTCGGCAACCAGTTTTTCTTCGGCAACCGTTCCATTTGAACTGCATGTAAATCTGCTGTTCTATTATCGGCAACTCGAAATCAGCTACAATTTGTAGTGCGTGTGTTTCATTTCAAGAAAACCCTGCTAGATTTCTTTTTCTCACTGGTAAAAATATAGTCAAATTGAAGCTGAAAGCATAAATAATCATTTGCATGCATTCAGCGAAGTGTTTTCGTAAGAAAATCCAGTGAAAATAGTGTTTCAATTTGGGTTGCCGAAAATAGTCTGTCATGCCGAAGCCGTCATTTCCCCTATGTAATGTAATATCCTATCGATTGGCGTATTTGGATTTTATTTTCATCTATAAATGGCAAAGTTACAAGCGTTCAAAACCTAACACTATTTCGCCACATTTTTTTTTGATTTGCACCCCAGTATTGTCTACAAAATGAGCAAATATTTTTAATTGTTTTTTTTTTTTTATTAACTATATAGTGCAGTTGAAAAATAATATTTGGCAAAAAATTTGTTTGGTTCCATGACTCAATGGCAACAATGACGAAAAAAATTCCTTGCATAACTGCTGAATTCATATTTTAGACTGGACAATTGTTTTTTAAACAACATGTTGGTCTCATGACTATTATTCGAGATAAAGCACGTATCAAACCTTCATAATCGTAATCTTCACTGCAAATTTCAAGTCATTTGGTATAATAGTTAAAAAGTTGCAGCTGTTTATGTGGGTGTGCCATATTTATCGAATACACCCTTTAGCAGCAGAGATTATTATTGAGAATCTGGAAAAATATTGATGCAATGCAAAAATAGATTGCTCCTATTTTCCAATTCTCTGGGAGGGTAAGCATAGGTATTTGGGGGGCAGCCCTCTCCCCTCCCGTATTTACGTGTTGTAAAATTGAAAATGCCACATCAGCTATCGGATAGGGAAAGCTGATGTGGTCCTCACAATTGTTTGCCATGAAATAAATAATTCAAATCCCTATTGGAAATCTATCGATTCATGGATACAAGTCACGCTAACATATCTCAGAAGAAAAACACCTCTATCTGCATATAATTCCCATAGACATGCAATCAGCCTGAGTAATAAATATCTTATAATTTGTGACATCATTCTCACGACGGCTTTTGTTAGCAGTAATAAATGCCGTTCATGGCATGCTGAAATATTAATAAATACAGCATTCTTCTGTACACTACCGATCACTGAGGCTGTCCGTCCATGTGTTTTGTTGCCACCAAAACACTGCAACTATAAAACTGCAATTCAGCCAGAACGTTCAGATTCTCACACAACACACGCAAAAGTTCAGCTAACTATCTACTTGTTGCTGATATCATCTTCATCGCTGTCGCGTTCCATATTGTAGCTACGGACGGGCATGCACAACTTTTCATTCATTCAAACAGAAAATAAAAACCCCCTTGTTTCTCAAGGCACACCGAAAAATCCACCGAGCGTTACCGATTTCTCCTAATTTATTTTCCCTCATAGAGACCATTAAAGACTGCGCCACAACGACTTGTATTTATTGAACATATTGAACTTACATTCGGGTCACTGGAAGCTGAAGGTGGTGGGGAAAAGTTTTTCCTCGAAGTATGACCCTTTCCCACAAGTGTCTCACACCGATGACGAAGTTTTCCTTATCTGTATACCTAGATATATCCAAGTACGATACTGTCGTTCGTTCAGGAGTTTAGGAAAAATGGCTGCTGAGCCGACTCAAGACCAAGAGCTGAAGCGTTCACTGTGTTGCTGCGACGACCGCGAATACCGCTAAGCTACTGACGGCGATGACGACGACGACGTCGACTGATGTTTGGTCTCGCGTTCGCAAAAATACTGCTAGCGGCGTTGGATAAACGGAGCGAGCTGTAAATGGCCAGTGGAGAAAGAGTATAGCGGAATTGGAAGAAAACACCATTTACCCGCACATTACTTCGATGGGTTGGCATTGGTTTCATGATGGTATCCCCAAGGCTGCTCAGGCGCTCTCTTCCGTGCTCGATTTATGAATGGATGCGGCAATGCGAGTGAGTAAACCAATTAGGAGAAACACATGGGCGAGGAGCGGTTGCAGCAGGCGTAACATTTTGAATTGCGCATACAATTTTAAGTTAAATTCGGATTTTTTTTTAGCTTTGAGCTAAACACATGCTATCAATAAAAATATGAAACAACCTTAACGATAATTTAATCCACCCTCATTTGCCTTATTCGTGGACCAGCCTACATTCGAACTGTTGCTGTTTGCTGGTGCCGAGGTGCCGAGTGCGTTCACGTGAGAGAAAGTTCAATTGGCGAAATTTCTTCTTCTGATAACCCGCGAGTATGCGCGGTGAGTAATCATCTCTCATCAGCTGCTTTCATAAGATTTCTCTTCTCTCAGCGTTCTTCTCGTCAGTCTATGAACTTACCTAAATAACTGTGTGCGTGGGAGTTTGCACATCTTATCACTACTGTTTATTTATCAACAAACGATGATAAACACACAAACGATAATTCGGCTACAATGTGTACAAAATTAAACGACGAAAACGGTGTTCTGTTCAGTCTTGAGTATATTTAGATCATAATGCATGCGGAAGTGGGTTCGGTTTGATCGAGGATCTTTTCAGGTTCCAAATGATTTATTAGAATTTCCCTAAGCACAAGACGTACACACACTTATTCACGGTTTCCTTGTTCGATTTTCAAACAAGCGAACATTCAGCTATTCTCAATACAACTACTGATGTTCAGTAGTTTTTGCGACAAACTGCTGAATATGGTAATAGCAAGTACTGAATTAGCCTTAAAATAATAGCTTTATTGTGAATGACTAAAGCTCAGTTAAAAGAATACCGAGTTTTCAGTACAGATTATGCTTTACTGAAACAGTCATCAAACGTAATTCCAAAATTATCGATCACACGAATAAATCAAATTACTTTACGTCATCTACCGCCGTTCAACAACGCACGCTTAACTTCGCGAATTTCTGTATGTAAGCTGCAGACTTTTGTGAAAATCACTAGAAAGATTGCTGAGAAATAGTGGTAGGTAGACGGCACCACCAATCGCACAAATCGTGGATTTCTGTATTATTTTCTTACAACAACTTACAGCAAATCCAAAAAAAGCAAGTAGGTACGCGAACAAACCTAATATCACAGACAAACAGACGTAACTCTTCATTGTGTATCTTCGTTCATGCATTTAACGGTTGATTTGAATATTATCAGTTCCGCGAACTACTCGCTCAGCGCTGGCATCGGATCACTTTGACGTTTCTATATATTCTATAGAAATTTGATGCAATATTGTTTACGAGTTAGCGAGCAAGCTTGTTTTCCGCGAGAAGCCAGATAGATGTCGTTACTGAGGTTATATGTTTTGAGATACTATGTTTTCAAGAACAAGTTTTTCAAAGAGTTACGTCTGTTTGTCTGTGCTAATATATTAGCTATGATATTAGAACGCACAGAGTTTCCTCGCATCCATGCCTCTTCAACAAACTTTGTTGTTTTTCTCACGAGTTTTCACAGCATTTGATATGTTCATCCCGACACCGATTGGGATTGATTTGAGGTTAAGTATTGGCTCTTGGGTCTTGGGTTTGATAGAGTGACATTTGCCCGAAAACCATTCGCCAGATCAATATGCCAGAATGAATTTTGCCAGCAATCAATTCCCAGGAAAATACCATTTGCCAGAAATATTTGTGCTTCATTTTGAAAAAAAAGGTTAAATTTCTTATTGGCCACCCTCCAGTTTGATTCAAACCCCCAAACTATGAGTCTTTGCCAAAAATGGTAAAGTTTGATGAATGTTTAGAGGTCGCACAAATGGGTTGAAGATTGTATGGAGATTTTTAAGAATTAGTATGGGAAATTATTGTCATTCGTTCCTTTCGGGACCACCAACATTGACGAACAAAATGATGTGTCCATGCCATCTACAATAAAGGGTGTCCACGATGAAATTGCCACACACAAAATTGATTCGCAAAATTCGAGTTTTCATCCGATTGCCATCAAATTTTCAGGGATTGAGAAATAACTATTAAACTTCATTTTACCATTTTACTCGTATTTTATTTACAGTCCATACGCAAATGCCCGCACCTTGGCCTTAACCCCGGCCATAGGATTCTGCACAACCTGTGAATCAACCGTTTTTTGCATGTAAACCCATACTTTCTTCAGTTCCTCGACTGTCTTCACTACCTTAGGTCGTTTAAGAAGGTGCTGCTTCATAATCGCCCAGTACTTCTCGATGGGGCGGAGCTCCAGAGTGTTGGGAGGGTTGAACATTTTCAGCACGAAATTGACCTTATTGTCCGCATACCACTTCAGCACGTCCTTGGAGTAGTGGCATGAGGCCAAATCCAGCCAGAAGATTGTTGGGACGTTGTGGGCCTTCAGGAGAGGAAGCAGCCGCTTCTGGAGGCACTCTTTTATGTACACCTGTCCGTTCATCGTGTCCTGGGTCACGAAAGGTGCACTCCGCTTCCCGCACGTGCAGATGGCTTGCCAAACCAGGAATTTCTTCGCAAATTTGGACATCTTCTGAGTGCGGACATGCTCCGGAACGCTGAACTTATCCTTGGCCGTGAAAAACAGGTTGCCGGGGATCTGTTTGAAGTCGGCCTTCACATATGTTTCGTCGTCCATGATGCAGCATTCAACTTTCGTCAGCATGTTGAGGTACAACTTCCTGGCACGGGTTTTGGCGGACTTGTTCTGCTTCTCGTCGGCCTTCTGGACAAAACTTCGGCTTAGATGCAGCTTCTTAGCCACATCCCTAACGGAGGCGTTCGGATTTCGGTTGAAGGCCCCAACTACGCGGTTGTGATTTTTGGTGTTGTACGGAATACTTTTTCCTTCACTTCTGGGCTTCCGATCGGTGGTCAACCGTTCCTCGAACCGCTTAATCACTCGCAACACCGTGGAATTCGCGATTCCCAACGTTTTAGCGATGGAACGATGCGAGAGATCCTTGTTCTCGTGATGAATGCGCAAGATTTTATCACGCACGAGCTGTTCTTTCGACTCCATTTCCGCGAGTTTTGATCACAGGACTTTAAAACTTGCAGGATGTAAATAATGCACTATGAACTAAATCCACCCAAATTTTCATTAAATTCTACCCAACGGTTAAAAAGTTAGAGCAATTTCATAGTGTGGCAATTTCATCGTAGACACCCTTTAGGTTCGATGATATTCGCTGATACCAAACCTTCCAACCTCTTCTCGACCAACGGCCTGACTGCTAGTGGTATGTTTGAAAACACATTTCTACACGGAGGTTTTGACTTGTCGTAGAAGATTTTTACGGGTGGAATGTTGAATTTGGAAAAAAATCTCGGCCCATAAACCTGTTTCATAAGAGAATTGTGAAGATTGAACAGGTACCTTCAGGCCTAGCATCAATATATTGTACCTAGAATAAGTTTGTCTGCTGAGGACTTTCCCTTCTCTAGCAGCATGGGTTTATCTTCAGTGATGTAAAGGTATGCATCGAACGTTGCGAGAACGTCGATGTTTTTCTCTGTTGCATACGCTTTGAGTGGACGATCTACATAATCCTGGACGTTAAATATGTCCTTACTAAAATCAGGAGTCTCGATCAACTTTTGGAACATATGTTCAATGAAAGTGTTTACCTGCGCTCCTGAATCGATGAGAAACACGCAATTCATCCCAGCTAAGGCCTGTACTCGAAAAAAAAAATTCACCAGATAAAAGTGTTCACCAAAAATTTATTTTAAGTCGAATTTTCTTGAAACTTTCAGGGAATGAACTAATACATATGGATTATGTTTCGGCATAATTACTTTATTCAATTTCTTTTCCATCGCTGAAAGCCCACACCTTTCCCTTAAGACCCCTCATTACATTTTGTGCAATGGTGAAGCCGACCTTTTTGGTCACTTTCGTCCATTGTTTCTTCAACTCCAGCTCGTTCTTAAGCACCTTGGATGATTTTCGAACTTTGGCCTTCATTATGGCCCAAAATCTTTCCACCGGACGAATCTCTGGTGAATTTGGGGGGTTGGCGGTTTTTGGTACAAAAACAACGTTATTGTCTCTGTACCAATCCAACGTCGATCGCGCGTAATGGCATGATGCCAGGTCCGGCCAAAATAATGTCTCGCCTCCGTGGGACCGCAGGAAGGGCAACAGACACTTCTGGAGACACTCGGTGCGGTAAATTTTGCTGTTGACGGTACCCATTGTGATGTACGGTTTACTCAGTTTATCGCATTGGCATATGGCCTGCCAGAGCAAGTATTTTTTGGCGAATTTGTCCACTTTCTTCTTCCTTATGTCTTCCGGAACATCAAACCGTGATTTGGCAACGTAGAGCTCCAGCCCCGGTATCTGCTTTGCGTCTGCCTTGATGTAGGTTTCGTCATCCATAACCACACACATCGGTTTCGTTAACCACTCTCGATACAGCTTCCTTGCGCGGGATTTGGCCGCCGTGTTTTGTTGATCACGCCGGTTCGGTGCCTTCCGGACCTTGAATACACGAAGCCCAGCTCGTTTCATGGTTTGCTGAACGAACCAGGCACTTTGCCTTCAGAGCCGCGTCGCGAATCGAAAGGTTCGGATTACGCTTGAAATAATCCAACACCTTCCGGGCCTTCACAGGGTCAGCTGTCTTCGATTTTCTTCCACTCCCAGCCCGCCGCTCGGTCGTCTGGGACTCCTTAAACGATTTTACCACCCGAGACACAGTTGTATGGGTGATTCCCAGTTGTCTTCCGATCCATCTCATGGTCGCAGTCGGATTTTCCATGACGGCGCGCAAAATTCTCCGGCGATTTTCTTCTTGTTTCGATGACATCTCAATAACCACTGAACCGATTATTATGAAATTTCGCACATGTAAACAATTCACTCCAAACTAGTTATACTCAGATTTTCATCAATTTTTACCCACGGATAAAAAAGTTACAAACGGATAAAAATTGTGCATTTTTTCGAGTACAAGCCTTACTTTAGCTGTAATGTATCCATCATCGAAATCGCTTAACGCCGCTTGAATTCGTTGCACTAACTCAGCTCTTGTCTGTGGGATATAATTCAAGTGGTCATCGATACCCTAATAAAAAATAACCATAAACGAACGGTAACCCAAATGATTGAACAATTCCACAAATGGTTTGGATGATACCCCGAACACGTCGTTAAGCAAATTAACCATAACATTTTTATTAGGGTAGTTTTCAGTTTGTCGTCATCTCTGCAATCTATATCGATCGTATGATCAATTCGCATCAATTGACGTTCAGCATTTTTAGACCCACCAATTGTTCGATCAGTTTCTGGATCAGATGTACAGTCCTATTAAATAATACATACTATCAACTCATCTCTGTTTAAACTTCGATGACATTTCACTTCGGTTTCTTTCTTATAATGAATATTCAAATCTTTTAGTAGCAATTCAAAGTTATCAATTTTACTATAGGTGTTCGAAATTTCGAAAGGTTGTCGTAAAATTACATGAACTATGTATATAATTCTTATTTAATTTATAATAATAATAATAGAAATTCAAGGTCTTAAAAAAATCTCCGTAAATTTAGTGAATAAGTCATCATTTACTGTTTAGAACGAGGTTTAGAATTATGTTTCAATAATTTCACTCACTTTTCCATTTTCAACAGCATCTTCCTCCGACGCTCCGACTTTCCAACTATTGCGATCTGTTGAGGTGATTCTTCACGAATTCTGATAAATCACTGCTCTCTGCCTCGCTGGATTCCTTCTGGACAGGCACGTCGAATATGTCCTTTGACACCGCAATTGTTGCAGACTTTCCCTTTAGTGTAGCATTCGTCTGGTGAATCGCTCAGCACAGTCCGTGCTTTTTAGCACAAGAGCCGCTGTCATCATCGTCGTCAAAGGGCCCCACCGAGATCACCAGCAGCAGCAAGATAACAGCGAGGAGGGGAAACAAAGGTAGTTAATAGACGTCTAAAATTGATTCCTTCTTGTTGTCTTGTTGTTTCACCCTAATCCGAACGACTTTGGAAGAAGTACCCTTGATCGAAACCACCCTACCGGGGTAAAGTTGGGAAAGCTATAGGCTGGCAGGTAAGCCGTAGCTTACAGAGAGGAACTCAGAGCAGTACTTCACTTGTAGAATTAAATCCGAATCGTAGGCGCATGCGAGGGTTGTAGAGTAAAGACCCACGCACATTAGATCCGGATCGGACGCGTTGCGGCAAAGTGACAGCTAAATCTATTGTCTAACTGTCAAATTTACGTCAACGCTACCCAAACGGATCTAATGTGGGTGGCCCTTAAGAGGTACTTAATCAGACCTCATAATGTTGCAACTCACCCAAAACAAACTACAGAAGTCATGCTCATCATCTTCTACACAGAAAAAAAAGTTGTTGAATATTACATCCAAACAGCTGCACAGAGGTCATTCCGCCGGTTGTGTAATATTACGTTGTACGATGTACATCGATTTTGTGAACAAAATTACATCTATTGATGTAATATTGTATCTGCTTTTTGCGCTTTTTGCTATTACATCATTTTTTCATACATCAGCTTAAATTACGTTGATCGATATTACATTTTTTTTGCTGTGTATATTCGATTTCCAACAATGCTCGCCTCCGGTTCCAACTCTTTCCGGCCGCTGATAGGCCGTTGCGTTTTACATCACGAAAGTCTGGGTATCTGGTCTGCATTTGACGGCATTAGAAAACCATAATACACACGACTTTTATTATCCATGTTTTTAGAGATTTGCATCTTACTGATACCGGTGGTATATTGAAAATTCTTTCGCTCGAAAGCAAAGCATATTACAAGCACATCATTATGCGCGCTTGGATGTGTGATTGTCTTCTCAAGTGTTTCTGTTGCGGATAAATTGGTAATGATTGAAAATCAAAGCAATCCCAAACAAGTAAGAATCTTGCTTTCGCAATATAATCAACAATCAATACGAAACTAACGATTTTAAATTGGCTCACTACTTGACTAGCCTATTGGTCCCAAGCAAATCGACTAACGTACCCCATTCTAGTATAAATTCCAGTACTACACTATGTTTGTTTTGATTCGCTATGAAAGTTTGACAGATAAAATGAGGGGTTATTGGTTTTTCCTATGTTTCGAGGGGTGAATCGATTAGCTTGGGACCGAAGATAGTACCAGAGCTGAGCCAAAATGTTGAGCTCGTTTCTTCGGGACCTTCTGGTCTTAGAGTTACCTCTATGATATAATGATGATGACTTCGAGGATGATATCGTCCTCTTCCCTCGGCTGATCATCAACGTCCGCGTTGCCATCTGTCATGCTGACACCTGCCAGTTATTGAGCCCTGGTGGTAAACTTGGCGGGGAACGGGGAACTCCCAACAGTTTCAATGTGCACTCAACAGATAGCTTTTATTTGGAATTGATTAGTGGGATATCTTGTTAATTAGATATCTTTGGTTTATCAGACAGCATTGCTCCCTTAAACAGCGATGGTATAAACATAGAGGTAACTCTAAGACCACTGGGTCCCGAAGAAAATCATTATTATTTTTGGCTCACTCAGTACCAGAACAACGGTCCCAAGCAGTCCCAAGCTATTTCACTCACCCCTGCATGTTCTGCATCAATCCACACACCCCTGATGTTATCTGTCAAACTTTTATAGCGAATCAAAACAAACATAGTGTAGTAATAGAATTTCAACTAGAATGGGGTACTTGGGACCAATAGGCTACTCAAGCAGTGAATCAATTTAAAATCGTTAGTTTCCACCCCCTGGTATAAAGGTGTATATATGCTTGATTTTAATGTGAAGTAACGTTTAATTAGACACTATTATCACCACCAAACGACATGAATGACCATACAAAGTATCATAAAATTTATGATCAACACTCTTAGCTACGATTACCTAAAATTATCGGTAGAAAGTTATCGGTATTTTTTACCGATAAATATCGTTACTTTTTACTTAAAACACGCTATTTTTACTATAAATTAGGTAATTTTTAATAGAAATTATTGGTAATCCATGATTACCGTCGAGTAATAGTACAAAACACTGAAGAAGTCTGCACATTGTAGACGAAATACGCGTATCTATCAAGGATAAGCAAATAAAGTAGTGGAATTAAATCGAAAATACTAATCCTTCTCTCTCTCATTATACAGGTATTCCACTAATGCTACGTTCAGACTACAGACTCGAGTTATAACATGTTATAGCGCTATCTTGATGGTGGTTTCTGTGTTGCAATTAGTTGACAACCGTTATAACATGTTATAACTCTCCAGTCTGGACAGCGTTTAAGACGCCCACATTCATCAGGATTCTTCTCGAAATGAAAACTAACATAATATAACATGATATAAGCCATAGTCTGTACGGGATATAACCATAGAGGTAATCGTTTGCTTGGGACCAATAGGCTAGTCAAGTAGTGAGCCAATTTAAAATCGTTAGTTTTGTATTGATTGTTGGTATAACTCGCAGAATAAGATTATCTACCAGAATGTAAAATTTGCATGCAACTAAATTATTTCACTCAAGTCCACACGAAAGTGATCTAAGCTTGCAATCCACAATGTCAACGATCTTTTGACTTGTATATGAGAGCCGAGAAGCAGAAGAGCTTGAAGCGCGAGAGCGAACAACTGTCATCGGGATCGCGCATCAAAACAAAGCGGCACTCGGCTCGGTTCACGATTCCATAGTAGCCACATTTTTATCTTTCGACCGGTTTATGCTGTGCAAATGTAGGTACCGGAATTTGGAGTACAATAATTATTACTGATTTTCCGTGACCAACCAAATCTGATTCCATCAGCATGTCGACTAGGTAAGTTGCGTTGGCATTAGTGGTTTTAAAGTTTCTAAATTTAACCGGTGTTCCAGCAATCCAAATTCTCCCTCCCAGCGAAGTCCCTTAGTGGACCGAACGCTCGATCTCTACCTGACCAATAGACGCTCCCGCGAGTGCCTTAAGTGGGGATCGATTAATATAGCACTGCTGTCCATCCTGTTGTTCGACATCTCCAACAAGTGTCCATATTCCTTCTCCCAGTGGTACTATTTGGAGTATGCAGCGGCAGCGATTCTCACCGGAAGCGTACTGTACTACTTTGGTCGTTACTTCTACTATCTCTTCAGTAGAGAAGCCCTTAAGGGGACGGAACAGCAACGGAAGTTGCTTAAATTCGACAACGACGACCATTCTTTCATAACGACGACGCCTGCATCGAAGAAGCCAACCACTGCCAGTGCGACTCCCGCCAATGTGACTTCGGTGAGTTTACATTCGTTCAACGAAAGTACATTGTCTGCGCCGTCTCCGGGCTGGATTTTCAACCGAGGTAGCCCTATGCAGCAAGGTACACCACATGTCGGCACCGTTCATCATCAATCGTTCGAGGGTTCGTTCAATGCAAGCGCCAATAATTCCGGTGCTTTCTCGCCGTCGACCCGGAAGTTGGCCAACAAGAGTGACTTCATCGTCGACGAGAAAGGATTACAGAGCTATTTGAGGTAAATTGAGGTCAGGTGGGATTAGAATGGGTTTCCTAACATCGTTTTTTATTGTTATTTTGCAGGGAGATGTCATATGAAGAGAAGAACAACAGTGCCTTCCTGGAGCGGATGAATACTTCTGGAAGCAGTTTGAATTCGTTCTGGAATAGCTACAAGCTGGACGATATGTCAAATTTGCTGAAATCTTCTCTGTATCAGCTTTCACCTTCGGCTCCACCGAGTAAGCAGACCATGAAGGAACACGAGAGTGGACCGTACAATCCAATCGATGCAGACGTCAGTTCGGAAGTGCTGAAGAAGGTTTCTTCGGTGCAGCTATCCAACTATGTCGCTAAACTCAGAATGGTAAGAAAACTTTTGATTGGTTTAATGAGAGGATTTCCAGAGTACGTTATACTATTTCAGTGGATTTCGATGACCATTCTGCAACGAATCGTTGCGGAAATTAACAGCATCGATCACTCGTTCAAGACTCGGGGTTTCTCCGACATCCAACTAGGCAGTGTCGGTCTGGAGAGATTGAAGAAAACGGCAGAAAACCAGCAGCTGGTAACTCTGTATATTCCAAAGCTTCCGCTCTTAATTCCTTTCCTGGAGATGTCCACCAACCAGGAGTATTTGGTTCAGCGGATTAAAGATCTCTCCAAGAGTAGTTGCATCGCTGATTACCGCTGGAACTCTGGGACATCCTACAAAGGTGTCAGCTGGGACGAACATCTACCGACGGATTCAGCCGTAGGCATACCTTTGATTAGGCTTTTCAGATAAATTCTCACAAATATCCCACCGTTCCTAGATCATCTTCCACCTGTTTTGTACCTACATCGACAGTCAACTGCGACCGCTACCCCAACCCGGTGGTCGTCCATTCTACAATCGGTACGTTGTAATTTCCGACAAAAAGAGCCCCAAGGAAACGTTGGCCGAGGTGAGCACGAAGAACAAAGCCAAATGTGCCATCCTTTGCTCGAATCCGATGAAGCCAAAGTTCAACTTCGTTTCGGACGATAAGATTCACAATTGCGCCCATGTAAGATCGCTACTGTCTGTTGTTTATAAATTAACAAGATTGGCAAAAACGAGCTGTTTCGCATTTCAGGATCGCAACAATCTGTTCTACGTCATCATTCAGTTCCTAATCTACATGAAGAATCACCAGGAGGGATTGGTCGAGGGAATCAACCTCGGGAAGAGCGGTATTAACATTCTGTGTGTCCTGGAAGACTAGGTTTGAAAACAAAGGTCCATCTAGCAGTAAGTATTTGTCCTCACAATTTCTTTTTTAAGTTAGCAATTTTGTGAAATTTAACTAGGTAGTTTTGTAAAATAATGTTTTGCTACGAGTTTCAAAAATCTAATCTATGCATTGATTGGGAAAGAAAGCCATCGGACGACAAATGAACCTGAACAGCGTGCGTTATGCCGTATGCAAAATTTGAATGCTGGTTCAATGCTTATCTAAGAAAGCTATTCGACACTCTCTGTTTTTAAACTTTTTTTTGCTGTCATTTTCTCTATTTTTGTTATTGCCTTGCTATTGTAGTCCAACGGTGCTATTCGAGCTACCATTGCTCTGTTGTTTGCTCTGCCTTTGGACGTCATGCTTTAGCTACTGTTTCCGGGTCTTTCGGTTTGAATTCATTCGGTGCCCCTTCGTCTTGCATAAAAAGCATTTGTTTTTATTCCCGTCATTAAATATATCCCCCTTGTGTTGTAAGCGAGGATGGATCCTCTCTCAGCTGTGTACAGGGTTTGCAATAGTCTTTCAAAAGTGTAATAAATCTGAGTTTTCATAAGATTTTCATTGCGTTACAAGGATTTCCGGGCTTTTCATGACTATTAAACATTAGTCTAAGAGAATGTTTTATTAATAACACATCTTGGATTTGTTTTAATAGAAAATATCACCAAGTTTACAACTTCAAAAACAAATAATTACCCAACCAACACGGTAGCAATGAACAAAGTTACTCTCTTTGACGCGAAAACCTTGATTATTGTAATAATGTATTATTAAAATATAATGGTAAATGGTAAAGTTATTCTTTGATGTACATATAGTTCATATAGTTATGCATTACTTATGTCATGAATTCAAAGTTATTCTTATCTTTCTTTTTACCAATTCAATACTAGACACTAGTCTAATATTGCGGATTTTAAGAAATATTCCCGTCCGGCGGCTATCGTACACGAATAAACAAAACTACCTAACGGTTGAGTTCTTTACACTTACTACTTTAATTCGTTCTCACGTTTGTTATCAAAAAAGGTAGAGCAAAACCACCCAATAAGGGTTTATATATGCGGAAATTTAACGTTAAGTAAGTGATGCACAACTTAATATCGAGTAGTTTGAAGTTGACGTTGGTGAACAAACTTAGTAGTGAATAGTTCGTTTATAAGTGTGCGAATGAAAATTATTTCAAGCCTTTTAACTCAAATTTAACTTCCCGCACGCAACCTTCGACCTGGGTAAATGGAACTCAATATTAGGTACTTTATAGTTTTACCTAAGAAGAATGCTAAGATGAACCCACCTCGGAATCCACACATTGAAAATTTCCGGAGTGATTTGAATTTTTGGCGTAATTGCATTTGTAAACAAAGACGTCAATTACCGATTTGTAGCGAATAAAAGCTCAATCTCGAAAACTCATAACGCTATGAGATAGAGGATTGATTTCTCTATAATTTGGTATAGTTTGTTTATGAGATTGAGCTTTAATTCAAGAAAAATCGGCTTACAAAAGCAATTACACCCAAATCTCAAATCACTCCGGATTTCTCACTGTAAAACATCGTCGCAAAAACACTATCGCCATCTGTTGAGTACACAGTGATGGGCAGTACGCTCAACAGATGGCGGAAGTGTGTAAACGTCAAACACAAGGGAAATAACTTTGCGCGCCACAGGTGGTGGTACTACCAACTAAGACACATTGATAATCAACTTGTGAGTGTTATGTCTGTTTGTCTGTGATGTCCCTTTTTTTTTTTAATTACTCGATTAATAACTAATCGATTATTTTTGTTGAGAAACAATGAGAGTGCAGAACATGTTTGAAACGATGGGCGATGATGCTTACTAAGTCTTGGTATGAAATAACCGATTAAAAAGATTATTTCGGTTCGTTGATCTTTTAATCGTTTATTCGAATAAAAATCAGACATAACTATACCACCGACAAACCGATATGAAACTTCAACTTAACTTTTTTTTTCAAAAATCTATAACTGCCGATTCAAATGTGCAGCGATCCGATATGTCAATCATAGGATGGACCATAGAACCATAGGATTTTTTGACGTAGACTACGTCTTACGGGTAAATCTAAAATCTAAAATTGTGACCGTCACGAAAATGTGTTAGGTTTGTCATTTCTAGATGAATGACAAAAAAACGTTTTCCCTTATACAGTCGTCATAATCGAGTACCACTTGGTTGCGTATCATTCTGCTTGAACATGTAAAGTAATTAAACAGCGCTGCTGTCGTGCTGTCGTGAGTGGATCACTCAAGGTGGAATTTTTCCCTCTCTGCCGTTGTGCACACCGAAACCTAGCTTCGAGCGGACATTCTGGACTGTGAGCTATCGTCAGATTATCATTTCTTCCGCTGCGACCGTAATCGAGCTACCAGTCAGCTTTCCAGAGGTGGCGGTGTACTTATTGCGATAAAATCCAAGCATTCATGCACATCAGTTTCGCTCGAGAAATGCGACCGTCTGGAGCAAGTGGCTGTGCGCATCACTCTGCAGCATCGCTCGCTATTCATCACCAGATCTATCTCCGTCCTCTCTCCAGCCCGGATTTATACACGTCTCACACTACTGCATCTTCGAACGCCGATATCATCTTGGCAATGGGCAACTACAACGTTCCGTTTCTGATCTGGACTTTCGACGAGGACGTGAAAGGTTATTTACCATCACACGCGTCCACTCAACAGGAACTGGCTCTCATGGAACCGATGCTCGCTAGCGGGCTAATCCAAGTCAATTCACTGTCTAATTTGAATGGAAGACTGCTTGACTTAGCCTTCATCAGTGATCCGGATAACGTTAACCTTCTTGAGCCTCCGATCATCATCATAAGCCATTCATCTTACGACTTGATGCCGACTGCAATCCGCAATCGGACTGTGATTCGTATCCACCTGAATTGGATTTCAGGCACTGCGATTTCGGCTCGTTGAATAATGAACTGTCCACTATCAATTGGCAACAGATTCTGGATGGTGTTTCTGTCAACGCTATTGCTGACCAATTCTACGACAATCTATATGAAACACTCTATGCGCGATTTCCTCTCCGGAGGCGTGTTACCTCAGTGCAACCCTGGTGGACCCTAATAAAAAATAACCATAAACGAAAGATAACCCAAATCATTGAAATATTCCACAAATGGTTTGGATGATACCCAGAACACGTCGTTAAGCAAATTAACCATACAATTTTTATTAGGGGAGCCCTGAGCTACGTAATTTGCGGAACGTAAATGCTATTTCAGTACCAGAACCAACGAGAGCAAAAATAGTCTCCGATTAATCGAAACGAGATACAACGGACTGTTGAAGTCTAGCTATGGGGAGTACGTCCAGCGAACGCAAGCGAATCTGAAGCAGCACCCATCGGCGTTTTGGAAGTTCGTGAAATCACAATGGTCTGGTAATCGTATTCCGGACATAGTTGAGTTTAACGGGATCGCTGCTAGCTCCCCTGTCGATGTTGCTAACTTGTTTGCTTTTTCCAATCAGTTTACAACACAAATTCACCACCTCTAAATCCTTCAAGTTTCGATCGCATCCACGAGTACAACCTGAATATCCCAACGTTGCGCTTCTCACCGGACGACGTTATGAAAGCCTTGAATGACCTTGATGTTTCTAATGGCCCTGGAGTAGATGGTATTCCCCCATCTCTGTTAAAATATTGCGCACGCTCACTCGCTTCTCCGATCTCCTGCATATTCAACCGTTCGCTGAGCGAAAGATCATTTCCCAATGTTTGGAAGACAGCTTCAATTGTGCCAATCTATAAAGCGGGTAATCGAATCCGTGCTGAAAACTACCGTGGAATATCAATTCTCTGTTGCATTAGCAAGGTCTTTGAAACCTTAGTGTACAATGCTCTGTACAATGTGGTTCAACCTATAATATCGGAGTTCAAGCATGGGTTTGTCCAGCACCGCTCTACTACTACAAATTTGCTGTGCTACACTAATACCAACAATCAATACGAAACTAACGATTTTAAATTTGCTCACCACTTTAGTAGCCTATTGGTCCCAAGCAAACGATTAACGTACCCTATTCTAGTCGAAATTCTAGTACTACGCAATGTTTGTTTTGATTCGCTATGAAAGTTTGACAGATAACATCAGGGATGTGTGGATTCATGCAGAACATGCAGGGGTGAGTGAAATAGCTTGGGACTGCTTGGGACCGTTGTTCTGGTACTGAGTGAGCCAAAAATAATAATGATTTTCTTCGGGACCCAGTGGTCTTAGAGTTACCTCTATGCTAATACCATAGAAAAATTAAGAGCTATTCGATTCCCTACTTGGTTAGTTGATTGGATTCTCTCTTACTTGAACGACCGCCATTCCTTCGTTTCGATCAATTCTGCACGCTCGAAGGCCTTTGCAATTACTTCGGGAGTACCGCAAGGAAGTGTGCTCGGCCCAATGCTGTTTGTCCTTTTCGTTAACGATCTGTGCCTTCAGATGTTCAGAGTCATCGCGACCGTACTCGACTGCCTCGCCCTGCAAAATGACATAAATGGGCTACTCCTATGGTGCCAAAAATATGGTATGAGTGTCAACATAGGAAAATGCAAGGTGATATCGTTTTCCCGTCGGAGCACCACCGTCAACCACCAATACACAATTGGATCCGTGTCATTAGGGCGTGTTACCTCAATTTGTGATCTTGGTGTTACTATTGACTCGAAGTTAAGATTCAACGAACATGTTGCACCAGTCACGGTTAAAGCTTCTACGGTTCTTGGATGCATTCGACGCTATACGTGGCAGTTTACAGACATTTTTGCACAAAAAACATTGTTCTGTACTTTGGTACGTAGCATCCTGGAATACGCGGCCTCTGTCTGGACACCTTATCACGCATCGCTGATCATCATAGTCGAAAGAATTCAGAAGGTTTTCATTCGATTCGCGCTGCGCAACCTTCAATGGAACGACCCGCTAAATCTGCCTGACTACACTGCACGCTGTATGCTGATTGATTTGAAAACTTTACGTGCTAGGCGCACAAACATTCTGCAACTAGTTATTTTCGACTTACTGCGTGGCAACATTGATTGTCCTCAACTACTACAGGATGTCCCTCTATACGT